TTGGAGTTTTGAGATCGGAGAGCTTTACGCCAAATTCTCTAAGTGCGATTTATGTTTACGAGAGATCCAGTTCTTAGGGCATCTCATCAATCAGAATGGGATATTGGCTTATCCGGCGAATATTGAGGCTATGGTGAGATGGGAGGTGTCGAAATCCCCCACCAAGATTAAGAGTTTTCTGGGATTGGCCGGCTACTATCGGAGATGTATCAGGGATTTCTCCAAGATTTAAGTTCCTCTCACCAGGTTGACTCGGAAGGGCGTGACTTTTAGTTGGGGTCCAGAGCAGTAGGGATCATTTGAGACGCTTCGCCAGAGATTATGCGAAGCCCTGATGTTAGCCCTTCCAGAAGGGATGGAGGATTTTGTGGTGTATTGTGACGCATTGATATCGCGGTTGGGTGTGGTATTTATGCAGAGAGGGCACGTGATAGCATATGCATCAAGGCAGCTGAAGCCTCATGAGACGAGGTATCCCACCCATGATTTAGAGTTGGGAACAGTGGTGTTCACCCTCAAGATATGGTGTCATTATTTGTATGGGGTTTGGTGTACTATATACACGAACCACAAGAGTTTGAAGTACTTGATGGATTAACCCAACTTGAACACACACCAAAGGAGATGGTTGGATGTGGCAAAGGATTATGACTACTAGATCCTGTACCACCCGGGCAATGCTAGCGTTGTAGACGATGCCCTGAGCTGCAAAGCAGAGAGTGCCCCGATACGAGTTATTTTTATGAGGATGACGGTGATGAATCCGGTGTTGGATACCATACGAGAGGCCTAGGCCGAGGATATGAGACCAGAGAAATGCAAGAGAGAGCAGGTGATTGGGCAGGTATCTATGTTCGTTACAGATAGCCGAGGGCTTTTGACCTTTCAGGGTTGGATTTGGGTCACGTTTTCAGGCGGGGCACGTACCATAATAATGGAGGAGCCGAACAGATCAAGGTTCTCGATCCATCTTGGGGCCACTAAGATGTATTTGGACCTGAAGAGAGAGTATTGGTGGCCCTGTATGAACAGGAATGTGTCATGGTTTGTTGAGAGGTGCTTGACCTGTCTCAGGGTTTAAGGCTAAGCACTAGCATTTGCATGGAAAGTTGCAGCCAATTTAAGTTCCCCAGTGGAAGTGGGAACAAATTTCTATCGATTTCATAAACAAATTGTCGAGGAATGTGGGGGTGTCGATGCAATTTGGGTGATCATTGACCGGCTGACAAAGAGCGCTCACTTCCATGCTATTAGTCAGAGCTCTTCCTTAGAGAGGCTGGCAGAGATATATGTGAGGGAGGTGGTGTCGAGGCATGGGGTGCCAATATTGAGTGTGTTAGATCGAGAAGTATGTTTCACTTATAGGTTCAGGAAGAAGTTCCATGAGGAGTTGGGTACGAGGTTGCACTTTAGCACCACTTACCACCCACACACAGACGGACAGAGTGAGTGCACAATTCAGACGCTCGAGGACATGCTTCGAGCATGTGTATTGGACTTCGAAGGAAGTTGGGACACATACCTACCCTTGGCTGACTTTTCGTACAGGAATAGCCACGATTCGAGCAATGGTATGCCTCCCTTTGAGCTTTAGTATGCGAGGAGATGTCGGAATCCCATCTGCTAGGGAGAGGTAGAGTAACGAGTGATGGGTAGCACTGAGATAGTGCTTCGGATGACCGAACTGATACAACAGGCCAGGAAGAGATTGTTGATAGCTCAGAGTCGCCAGAAGATATATACGGATAGGTGACGATTCGAGCTTAAGTTTTAAGTTGGAGATTTCGTACTCCTGAGTGTATGTCCTTGGAAAGGAGTGATCTGATTCAAGAAGAGGGGCAAGCTGGGGCCCCAGTACATTGGTCCATTTAGGGTGACCGCGAGAGTGGGCAAGGTAGCATTTCGTTTAGAGATACTTGCAGAATTAAGCCAGATACATGATACCTTCCACGTGTCTCAGTTGAGGAAGTGTATAGCCGATGAGATGGCAGTAGTGCCGGTAGAGGATATTTAGATAGATGCGAACGTTAATTACATTGAGAGACCAGTCGCAATTATGGATCGGAGGATCAAGGTTTTGAGTAACAAGAAGGTGCCCCTGGTTCAGGTCCAGTGGCAACATCGAAGAGGGTCCGAACTTACTTGGGAGCCAGATTCAGAGATGCGGGCGCATGATCCATAGTTATTTACGACATGAGACTTCAAGGGCAAGGTCTGGTTCTAGTGGTGGAGAATTGTAACATCCCGAAATTCTGGTACTTGTATATAACCCTTCTTCTTTTCCAAGTTTTCAAGTTTAACCCTTGAGTGGAAAATTTTGCAAATGAGTACGCTTGGCATACTCATGCGCTTATATTGGACACAGACTCAATTAGGTACACTGGGCGGACCAAATTTACACTTGGCGTAAATGGCTAAGATGCAAAACCCTAAATCAGACTTGAGGACTATAAAAGGAATGCTAAGGCCCTTACCCCAGCCACGATATTGTAGTGAGTGAAACCCTAAGAGGGCAAAAACCTGTTATAAGGTTGTCTGTGTGTTCTTAAGCTTGAAACTAGCATTTTATGGTGGTGAAGGAGAAGTGGATGCCATTGTGGGAGCTAGAAGTTGGAGGACAAGCTTAGATCCGAGTTCTATAGAGGTTGGAGCTTCATTTGGAGGTAAAAAGCTCAAAGCTTTCCTTGCTATTGTTAATTTGTGCTTTATGGACCCATTTTAAGGGTTTTTGATTCCAAGGTGGAGACTTTATGAGCAAAGGGTCTCCATAAGCTTAGATTTTCCCTATTTCTGTGTAATATGTGTTGTAGGTTCATAAAAAACCAATCTTGGATGTGAATATTAAGTAATGCATGAGATATAGGCTTAATGAAGAAAGAGGTAAGGCGTTTTGAGTGATTAGAGACCTTTACAGCCAGGCAAAGGCTTAAAGGTTTCGACTTTCTGGATTAAGTGGCCTTAGAATAGTCAGATCTGGAATTTGAGCTTCTATCTTAACTGTTTAAGACCAAAAATCAATAAGAGCATGAAACTGAGACTTATGTTGGGCATAAATCTCAGAACGCGCCCCGTAAGGGTCCAATAATATTAAAATTTTAATTAATTAGGTTTTTATGATATAACCCTGGAAAGAAGAGAAATTTTATGATATTCTTTCCTTAAACACACTCAGTAATTTTATGATATTCTTAGCTTAAATGCTTGCAATCTGACTGCACAAATTCTTTAATCTCCTGGAACAAATGAATTATACTTTCTACTTTCAGTACAATATACAAACATAACCGAAAACATGATAATGATAATGACAATAGAAGAAAAGATACCATACCTGTAGCTTTGGGTACATTTGTGACATGGCAATTCATCCCCACAACATCAAGCCCTGATGATCCTTATTATTTCCAAATGAAGCAATCTAATGCCGTTTGAAAGAGTATAATAACTAGTGGCAAGTTATCAACCCTTAGATTTCTGACTTGATGGGCACATCCAGCAGGTATTAAGACAGGATCTCCAAGCTTTCGGACAAAACTCCATGCTTGAATCCCTAATCACAACAAAAAATAAAGCACATTCAGAGATTTTATATCAATGAGAAAGGTGATACATAACACGCCTTGAAAATGCGTACTAACCAAACTGTTCCTTGAGCTTCCTTTTATGTTCCATGGTTAAGTAAAATGTTTGATCATGAATTGGGTGTATAATGTGGACCAAAGAAAATACAATTGAAAAGTTTATAAAATTTACTATGTAGGATTGTGATGCTACACATAAAAGAATTTCAACTAAAAGTAAGGATTAATACCTGCTACAGTGGAAGACAGAAGGAATGTCTAAACTCTCTGAAATGTTTTTTGAGATATTCTTCGAGTTTAGGAGTATCTTCCCTCCTAAATATGTCCAACAAAGCACATCCATATCCTAAATCAGATCCAACCACACAAGTACCTGAAGTATCATCCTGGTTATCACCTTCTTCACTATCTGAAGATATCACTTGTTTCCTGCCCTTCTTTTTCTTTCGTTTATTTCCATCTGACCCTCAACTCTTTTATTTGAACCCTTTCTCTTGCTCTTATCTTTTTTATCAATTTCAAACTCAACTCCTTCACAACTTTCCTTCTTCAATAAATATTGGTCTGATTGATTAATAGTAGTTTTATGCCCTTCTTGTTTCTTCGACCCAACAACTTGCTCAGAAGTAGCACCTTTTGTGTTATCAACATAAAGTTCCTTCTGATCCTAAGCACTGTGCAACTTTTTTAATACATTTATCCTTTTACAATGTTCAGAGTCGAGGGTCACAGTTGAAATATGAGTTAGCACATTCACCTGCATGTCACTAGAAAAAATATTAACGAATGAAAAGATATAAGATCCAGAACAGATAGGGTGTGCAAAACAGAGAATATATCTCTTCGAAATAACTCTTCACAAGAAAAGCTAAAATGACAGGTTCAATTTTTGTAAAATGGTTTTATTTTGACATACCAAAATGTTTAGTTCGGGGTTTTGTCTTCTTAAAATAAAGGTAGAGATGATTTTATATTGTAAATCCAAAACAGGCACTGCAAATTTATGTTTAACTCGGATAGTAAATATTCAACTACTTCATAAAGTTCACTTCATTTTACTTTTCTAATTAGTGGTTCTTTTTTCCATGGTGAGTCCAAGAAGTACTGCAGTTACTGCTTTTTATTCTTTAATAACAGAAAAAAAGATGAGAAATAGAAGAGGGTTGTTGGTTTCTTCCAACAGATCAAGAAAGGTTAAAAAAAATTAAGATTGCATTCCAGCAATTTATGTAATCCCCATGTAATATATATGAGACTCTCATAAATTGCAAGTGTGAAATGCAAGTAAACGAACTTTCATGACAGTTTCTGTTATATTTCTTTTAAAGATAGTGAAGTCATCAGCAAACCAATTCCTTCTCATACAAATTGAAATGGAAACTTCTATAACTAAAAGGTTAAAAAAAAGCGTGATGATGCCTAAAGAGAGAAATTCAGTTCCAATGATACTAGATGAAATCCAACACTGGTGATCATGTCTTTGCCTAAAATCATAATAGAAAATTTCAACCAGAAGAATTTGGCATAACCAAACAGAAAAAAACATACCACATCAGAATTGTGACAATGAAGTTTAGTTACAGAGTCTCCACGTCCCAATTCTTCAGAAACACCATAAGCTATATATGTTTAGTACCCATATCTGGCTTCAAAGATTTTTCAGGCAATTTGATTGCAAGATTAAGGTAGCCATCACGTGGGTGTGTGTAATCTTTAAAGGGTAAGCAAGTGATGAATTCAACACCACGATGTGGCAACCGTTCTTCAAATGAATTTAATGTAGGCCAGTCTTTCAGCTTTAGGATTTGAGGCCACCCTTTAGTGTCATATATACCATCCGTATACCAAGTAAAAAACTTTTGAAGATTAACATCAACCTACATATCATGAAAAAATTTGATTAGACATTTAATATATCTCAATGTAGTATGAAATCGAACTCAAACAACAACCAAACCCAAATCCTATATAAATGGGGTAAGATGGAGTTAAGATGTATACAATCGTATTTTCACCCAAGGGTAGATAGAATGCTTTCATAGATGACCTCTGGCATATGAAACATGAGCTCACAATGATGAATAGAGGGGAGAAAGAAAAAAACACATACAAAGCAATAAAGTTGAATAAAAAACGGACAACAGTAATGAGGGAAATCACTCCCTAATATTTTTTATTACTGCATTCAGTATCTTGTCCCACACAGCATGCCACCAAACTACCCTTATTTCCCCAAGTTCAATCTTCCTCTCATGTTCCTTTTTAATCAGACAAAGTCAACACATTTGGCTAACTGCCACCCTATAATACTTCCCCTCAGTTTCAAATGGTAGATATCTCCATCTCCTGCCCTCTAGTACCCTTCTCTTCAGGGTCCTCAAAATGTCTATTCTAGTATAGTATCATACACCTTCATGATGATAAACACCAAAATATAGAGATCCCTATTTCTTTCTCTACATTTTCTCTATAAGGCATCTGAAGAGGTGGAACCTCATGATACTATACTTGGAGAGAAGTTCATATCAATACAAATAGAAAAGGTTCTCCCAAGCTTGTATGAAATGTATACATCCACCAATCACCTCAGAACAATAGATGACTAGAAAAGTAAACAAAAGATGTAAAATATAAAAGTACTTATCCAACCTCACACCAATCCAAACAGTTAATAGCAGCCTCATCTGAGAGCTTGTTTTCTTTGGGATTTGGATCCCAACAAAAACCATGCCACATGACCATGGGTTCCCAACTCAACCCAAGTGTAGTTTCAAGAACATTACTAACAATCTCAGGCTCCCCTTTTGACTAATGCCACTGGAAATGCTTCAAATATCCATGTTGAATGTCTATTGCACGTGGACAATACAAGTAATTGTCTCTAGAATTTTCTCGGGAAGTAGATATTCGCAATTGATGTGCACCACCATCTAAAGAACATGTGCACCATTTCTCAGGAATATCCCTCATATCTTCCTCTAGTTTGTGCATCTTTAAGAGCTTTTATGCTTTGTCTAGCAATTCTGAAACACTATCAAGTGACTTTATGTGCATCAACTCTAAAATCCCACAACCACAACCACCCATGCTTTTTTGGAGGGCAAAGAATACTGCCATCAACCAAAGAATTCCAGTCATGAGTTTGCTTTTCCTTCGGTGCAGGATCTTCAGCAGCCTTCTCAACATAACATGTCTTTTTCCATGCATTCCTAAATCCCTTGGGGTTGCCATGTAAGTACTCAGGCCCTGGATCGTTAGGTTCAATGATAACTTCTTCTTTTGTTTCCTTGAGGGTTGCCATCTCGCAATTCCCAACAACATTGAAGGCAAAGGTTATAATGACAAGAAGGGCAGCTTCTATGCAAGTCAAAAATTGATGTTTTACTGCAGTCACTGCATATACCAAAGAACAATCAAAACAGGAATACATCACCCAAGAAACAAAATCCTCAAAGACTTGTACAATCATTGAAATGACATACCAGTGAATTTGCTTATCCAAGTTTCACTCTACCTTCTTCAACTGTACCACCGATATAGAAGATCCTACCCAAGTAATAAAGTCAAGAAAACCTACATAAAGTATGGTTGGTTGCCATTTATCCATTCATATTGAGTTCAAGGTTAAAGATTCAAGTTCGTGTCATCCATTATGAGATCATCTATAGAAATTAAGTTAAAATGATGAAGGACGAGACTTGAGACTTCAAGTTGAGAAGCTAAGAAGAAGAAATGACTTTCCTTGCATTTCCATGAAGTCTCAAAAATGAACTTATCTAACTCAAACCTTTTCCCATAAGAATGAAATAGTCATCAACATTAGTCAAGAATCATATATATGGCATCGCTGATTTAGATTAGCTACAATGTGAACTAGAAGGTCCACATTTTAAATAAATCAAGAAAAATGAGATAAACAGCAAAAAAATACCTTGAATTCTAGACTCTATTGCTATCTCTTTCATGTGCTGCTCATTTACATGCTTCAAGAATAGAAAAAGCACATGTAGGATGTAAATAGAATATTGAACTTTCTGATCATCATTAGGTTTGAAATCAATCTTCTGTTTCACCTAAAACCAACAACAGATTCAGTATTAAATTTCTTATCCGGTTGAGAGTAAGAACATCAATAAGTTCCATAACAAAAGATGAGCTACAGGAACCAACTATATTGTACTCATTTCGCAAGCAATTTATAGAGTTATTGTTCCCTTGGCACACAACGCAACACTCATCAAACATTTCCTCTATCATGTTAGGGTACCTACAAAACAGAATAAACAAAGAGAGAAAGATGAAAACTGCCGGTGATTTAACTACAGTCTGCTTAAAAGACAATTTTCTACAATTCGGCATCAAGTTAGTAAGTTACGGAAGCATGCTTCTACAAAGGTCAATAATGGCTACTTGTTGCACCAACAAAAAAATGTAGCAACGTTGATGCCAACACTGAAGTTTAGTTACACAATCTCCACGTCCTAATTCTTTAGAAACACCATAACCTATCTATGTTTTAGGACCCATGTCTGGCTTCAATGTTTTTTCAGGCAACTTGACAGCAAGATTAAGGTAGCCATCACAAGGATGTGTATATTCTTTAAAGGGCAAGGAAGTGATGAATTCAACACCATGACATGGCAACCGTTCTTAAAATGAATTTGATGGAGGCCAGTCTTTCAACTTTAGGATCTGAGGCTACCCTTCAGTGTCATATATACCGTCCGTATACCATGTAATTTTTTTTTGAAGGTTAACATCAACCTGCATGTCATGAGAAAAGTTGATTAGGCATGTAATATATCTCAATGTAGTATTAACTTAAAGGCAAACAACAAGGAATCCCAAATCCTATATAAATGGGGTAAGAGGGAGGTAAGATTTATACAGTCCTGTTTTCGCCCAAGGGTAGATAGAATGCTTTCACAAATGACCTCTGGCATATTAAACGTGAGCTCACGAGGATGAATAGAGGGGAGAAAGAAAAAACACATACAAAGCAATAAAGTTGAATGAAAATAATGGGACAACAGTAATGAGGAAAATCACTCCCTAATATTTTTTATTATTGCATTCAGTATCTTGTCCCACACAGCATGTCCACCACAGTATCGTTATTTCCATAACTTCAATCTTCCTCTCATGTTCCTTCTTAATCAGACAAAGTCAACACACTTAGCCTAATTATTATACCTCTAGATCCCAAATTCCCTGTATGTTGAAGTGACATAATTTTTTCAACTTTAAACGCTACAGACTAGGGTTTTTTTTCGTAGTTCAACATATATTACATTTACAACTATGCACGCGTATAGAAATGACATGGCATTGAAGAACCCTAGCTAGGATAGAAAAGAAAAAGTCATAGCAGAGGGTCTGGATGAGCATTAAATGTAGGATGATTGATTGAAGATTTAGGGTTCGATTTACCTGGCAGTAGGGGTGGGAGGACGAGGAGACGGATTGCGGAAGAGTAAGGGGCAATATCAAATGTTTTTCTACTTCTCGGACAAACTTGGGGTAGCTTTTGGAATCAATGGACATTGATTGAAGTTTTCTCAACAGAGAAACGTTATTCAATAGAAAAGGGAGAATGGGGATGAAATATCGAGAGAGAGAGAGAGAGAGAGAAAATACAGATAGTTGAGAATGAGTGACCATCAACTTACCTGATGGGAGGAGCAATGAAGACAACTTGCACGTTGATTTGTGGAGGAGGAAAGGCTACCTATACCTTAAATGATGCTTGAATCGGACCTATATAGGGCTTCACTAGTTCATAGATGGCGAAATGGATAAGTTGCAAAGCCCTTAATCTCCTTGTAAGTTTGACATAGGCATAATGTAATGATCCCTAAATCATATTATTGTCAGCGTGAGGAGTCATAAATGGTTGGCCCTTAAACGAAGGCTTGTAAAATTGAACAGTTGTCGCAGTCTCGGTGAGGTGAGTTGAGCTCAAGGTCGTCAGTGGGAAGAGTAGAGCGGAGGTCTCCGGAGGTGAGAGGTGAGCGGAAGTGAGGAGATGTAACGAACTTTTCAGAGAGAATCCTTTTGAAAAAACCCTAGACCCCTTACAATTTTGTTATGAGATGAACAGTACGCGCAGTCTGAGGCTAGATGATGCAACGATGATTGGCGGCGGTGGATGTAGGTGAGGGTCGGGGTGGAGATGAGGGAAAAGTAAGTGCGGGTTTCAAAAAATTTGGGATTTTATTTTCCCTTCAAGGAGAACCGCGTTTCACAAAAAAAATATAAAACGACATTCACAGAGGATGCACTTGTGCCCTCCGTGCATTTTATTGTTTACATTAGACACTAATTTAAGGGCACGCAATAATGCGTGACCTAAATCCTTTATTTTTTTAAAGAGATGACACTTTTTTAATGTCACTCTCTTTTGCGTAACATAAATCAACGAGTTTCATGGTTTGCGCGTCGTAAAAGGCTCTTTTTCTTGTAGTGGAGGTTGCTAGAGCTGTCAGAACCTACACATGGCAAATCGGTAACTTAACATGCAATACAATAAAAAAAATATGTTCAAAAATTTTCTATTGTTTTGAACACCTACATGATCAGCAAGCTTTTTTATACTCGGTAACTTAACATGAAATACAATAAAGAAATATGTTTAAAAAATGCGTATAAATAACAAAAAACAAGATAGGAGCCAATCATTCTATGACACAAGGAAAAATATACCTAGAGAACTATGACAAAAAATATGAAACAAATGAATGAAAGTGAATGGCTATTTCTTTAATACTTACTGCATAGAGTAAGACTTAGCCATCATCCATAGTTTTGAAGGACATTGATGTCTCGCTATGCTGCACATATTAAAAATAAAAAAGAACAAAATTGTGTAACATTTGGACTTATCTAGCTTGCTGAAATAGACATACAAAAGATTTTGTTGTACTAGCTTGCTGAAATAGACATATAAAAGATATCAGGAAAAGACCAAAATGCCCTTGTGTGAAGTAGTTGGATTACTCGCATCTTTCTTCTCTTGAGGCAAAATAAAAGGATCCCTGACACCAAGTCCAGCACCAATTGTAAGAATAGGATCAAAGCAACGAAAAAAAGCACCCATTATCGGCATTTTCCCTAATTTCGGATCCAATGGAAGTATTTTGGACCTAGAACAAATTAAATTTCTATCATTTTGCAATTTGAATCATTCATTAAGACTCAAGTCATCAAGAACAGTTAACAGTTACAGCTAATGGCTCTGGAGGCTGCAAAGCAGCTGATAAAAACTCTCCAATACTTGCAACTTCCCAACTTATTATTTGCAAACAAAGAGAATTTAAAGGAGTTCTTAAAAGCTCGGGTAGTTGATATTCAAAAAAATCATCATAAACACATTGAGGGTAAAGCAACGTAGAAATTAGTCAACTTACAGCTAATGGCTCTAGAAACATTCCCCCAGTTGCACATACCCTACCCTACCGCTTCTCTAAACCAACAAAAAAAGCAACATAGAAATTAGTCAACTACCTTGACCAATAAAGTCAAAGGGTAAAAAGGTAACTTACTTGGCGAGCAGATGCTTGTGATATGCATGAAGGCAACAAACAAGGAGTGTTTTTCAAGGCATCAAATGGTAAAAAGGTAACTTACTTAGAGAATCACGAGCTTTTGAGCTATAATTCTCAAAGTTAGATTAAATAGATGCATCCTAACATATTCATATCGAAATTTAAACTTGTTTTAGTCATTAGAATCAAAAGTTAAATTAGAGTTGACTTAATTTTAACATAATCTAGATAAAGATTACCTCAACAAGTGATGTAATTTCATTTTTGCTTTTGCGTGGGAGTAACAAGTGATGTAATTTCATTAATTATGTAACTATAATTAATGGAACTTTTATTTACAAACTAAAAAATTAAACATACTAAAAGCTCACTAAAATCAAAACAAGATTAATAAAAAAAAATGTATTTTCTAGTTATTTTTAGAAAATAAAATTGTAATTTAATTAAAAGTACAAGTAAGACACTGAAAGCTCATTAAAACTAAAATAAGATTATAATAATAATTTTAATTATTTTATAAAAAGATATTCTCTTACATAAATAATAACTTTAATTATTTTATGAAAAGATATTCTCTTACATAAATAGGAAAAGGGCACAAATTTTTTCTGTTTACAACCCTAATACGATTGTAATAGAAAATACATATTCTATTTGTGTTTAAAAAAATAAAATTGCAAAATTTTTAATGAATATGAAAGTAGAAATGGAAGGAATCACATTTGCTGAAAAAAGTGATCCATTCCATCAGACTTCCAAAGAAATGAAGCATTCGATTCCTTTCCCAACACCATCATACCAAAAGAAAGTACTCACCATTCTCTTAGTTTATCAGATTTTGGTGTCTTCTGGATTTCAGGATGGTAATACAAGATATAATCTTCCCCCTTGAATGGAGGGCATGCCCAAATATAGCAACTTGTGAAACCACGTAATTTGCAATATTCTAGGTAACCTATCTGGAAAATAGAATTGGTTATTTTTTTAATCATCCTAACAAGAATAAAGGCAACTGCTATGCATGATCTAACACGATAGAGAAGTCACTTACCATAATTTCATGATATACAAATGTACGAAGAGACTCCCATATCACAGCCTTAATCTCAGGCCTGAAGTACTTAACTGAATCCAGATAAGAAAGATAAACACACCGATGGTTTGGCTGCGGACACTCTGCTCCAAATTCTCTTACATACATACCAAAAAGACACACTTCTACACCTTTAATTTTCTGAAACAACAGAACTACCTAAAACAAGAAAGGCTACTTTAGGGATTCACATACCAGAACCACAAGATAGTGCCAGCGCATATAAGGCATTGGGTAGATTTTTTAGAGTATAATATATTGTATAGGAAGAAATGTAGGCAAAGATGTTATAATCAACAAATCAACGAAATTAGTACGCTTGAAATACCTTAGACTTATACCCAAACTCGATAGGGTAATTTTGCTCTTGAAAGATCTCAAGAAATCGTTGCTAGACTTCCAACTTCTTGTCCACAGAAGAGACCTTTATGAAAACAAGTTCTTCTGCTCCAAGAACCTGATACTAAGGAAAATTTAAGATACATACCTTATTGTTCATTCACAATGTATGGTATGGAGTTGTCTTTTTTTTTTCTTTTTTTGGTGGGGGTGGGGGGGGGGGTTATGACATCACCTCATCATAAGTTTTCCCATAGAACCTGTTGTCTATGTGATTACTGAGTATGGTTAGAGGTAAATCTTTTGCTCCAAGTACAACACTCTGTGGTAGAGGCATCTTCTCTCCTCTTTAAACTTGTTCCATATAACAATTTGGACAAGTATAATCTGCTTGCCCCCATCATTTCTTCGACCATTAAATAACGTACATATTTGATGCTGCCAGGCTTCACACCTGTCGCATTGAACCCACTGCAGTGCACAACCCCACAAGAAATTAGAATATAGATAAATAGATATATACTTAGATTATATAAACATAACATACATACCCATTCTTCGGTCTCCTCATCGTTTTTATTTTTCTCAAATCTAGCTTTCCAAAACATTAGTTCCATCAACATTGATAGTGTCTCCACGGGAATCACTATAGCATGGAATGCAAAAGTAGTGTCGGGTATCACCCGTTCCAACAGTGTAGAACATAGCATTTCTGTTGATGCGAGCGCCACAAGGTGTGAAATATATAGGTGGGGGTTCAAAACTGAGCTTTTCAACTGCACATAGTTGACACGAGTTCTCACTCATCGAGTGTTCCAGAGCTTGATTCTTTTCTACCTTTGCTTTGCTCTGTATAAAATGAAAGATTGAAAAACAAACACAAAAAAACACAAAACAAACACAGCTCCATAAAGTAAAATGCAGATTCTAACCTGGCCAACCCACTGCCTGAGACCTGTTATATGCTCACGAACCTGCTCTGGTGTAAACACCCTTTATTTTTGGCGTCCCGGACTCGGTTCCAGTAGAAGGTTGTGCAGGAAGTGATGTACTTTCTTGGACGTTCTGCAGGAAGTGATGTACTTTCCTGGACCACCTCTACCTCTTTCTCAGTCTTAACAACCTCCTGCTTAATGTTAATGGGCATAATAGAACTCGCAGGAATTTCCACTTTTACCCCAGTAACAGTTGGAGCATTCGTGTCATTGATTTCAGGTTCTTCTTCGTCATGGAATACTTCCTGAACAAAAGGAGGTGTTTTCCATAGGTTTTCTTGACCATAATCTTCTAAGAAATGTGCCCTCACTGGGTTAGTGAACACCTATATTCAAACACATGAAAGTAGATTATCGTAGAAACCAGAGCATTAGCCAAAGGTTATTATATTCATAGTCCTAACCTCCATTACATCTTTGATTTGACCACATCTTTGACCACATATATAACAACAATATGTTACAAATTCAGGTGTATTAGATATCTGAAAACTAATAACAAATGATTAAAAGATAATGAAATGAAGTCAATCATAAAAGCTGAAATAAAGAAAATATGTTATAAAACTGACCTTTATTTACATGTGTTATAAAACTGACCTTCATTGTTGCTAGTTCTTCCACACACTGCATTAAAAGTCCACACTCTGGTACCTATTAAACCATTTGTGTGTGGATAAGAGAGAGAAAGAGAAAGAGAGAGAGAGAGAGAGGTAGATATATTTGTTGCAACTTTAACTGAGAGGTGTATGCGTGTAACAAAGCTCTTTTGTGTGTTTGTAAGAAAACTCTTTCAAGTAAAGTTACAGGTTTCAACCTATACTGTGAATACATAAGTAGTATAATACCTTAAATGCACTTAAAATTGCCATGTAGCGTGATGTACAACATCATATGGTTCACTAAAATCCTGATAAACAGAAACATACATAGGATATTAAAAAAGGGTTGAATTTAGTGTACTTTCATTGTTGAGTTTGTTACAGCATTCCTACCTTTTGCTTTGGATGGACCAAGAACTTCGAACTCCTTAGATCAACAACCTGAAACCAAAAGTCGATTAAGAAAATATTGAACCAAGAAATCAACTCATTTAACAAATGAAAAATAAACAAAAAAATAAAAAGAATTTTCACCACGATGGTCAACTACAGGATGTTCTTGTTGGATTAATGTCTAAGGCTGTAACTATATTTGGGTTGCCTTCACCATAGCAACTTGACAGGATGAATTGTTAAGAGAGAAGAAATATTATTGTTAATATATTATGAGAATAATATATTAAAGGGATAATATTATTATTTGATTAATATAAGTTATATATTAATTAAGAATTAATTTGATAACTTAAAGAGGTTAATTAAATAAAGGGGCATAAACTGTCAAAAGTGTGAAAGTTGTGTTTTGGGCTATGTATCCTTATGGGTAGTGGGGTGCACGGAATTTAGGGTTAGGGAACCTTAAATTCATCTAAGCCTAGTATCTAGAAGGATCTTGGATTGCATAGGGCCTAAGTTATTCAATTAAGGTTAAAGGTGAAAACCCTAGTATCCCATAGTATAAATAGACCCCTAGGTTGAGGGAAATCGGCAATCATGCAAGGCAAGGAACCGTAGGGCCGATTTCTCACTGTCTCCCCTCTCTCTCTTTGAATATCATCCTCTTTCTAGTTGGTGTTTGTAAGCCATTAGAGGAGTGACAATTGTGACTCTAAGCTCTAAGGAGAAGAAGTATCAAGCAAGTAATCTAAGGTATTGTTCTTGATCTAATTACATCTTATTTCATTCAATTGTTTACATTAGATCTAGTATTGTAAGTCTTAGATTCAATGCATGTTCAATTAGAGAAACTTAGATCCAAGCATTAGGGTTTTCATGTGCGCATAGGAAAGTTCTTACGGCTCAAACCCATCAATGGTATCAGAGCCTTGATTGATTTCTATTGAAATGATGCATTGGTTAATTGCTCGTTGCTTGCAAAAATTCTATTTTTTATCTTCTGCCTGAGGAACTCGGCGAGTTCCACTATGGACTCGGCGAGTAGCTCCAACTCGGTGAGTCCATAGTGGGTACTCAGCGAGTTCGTGCGTCAGAAAGAGGAACTATCGGGATTTCTTGCTGTTTTTCTTGAGGAAACTTGCCTTAACTATTTTCGGTCATTAAAATCCGATTTTAACTATATATATGAGTATATTCTTGACAAAACAAAAGATAATTACCAATTAATTGAATAATAATTTCCTTATGTGATAATAATTGATTATTTGAATTGAATTGGTGAATTGTTTTGCAATTAATAATGAATTAGATGAAATTAAGATAATCTAATTGTTGATATACATTATTTTCTATTTGATCCTTATGTTTTGAAAACTTTAAAACTTGTCCTCAAGTTTTAAAATTTAAGTTTTGTGATTAAATGTTTAATTTAGATAATTTAAATTTCAAACCCTACAATTTTACAAGTTTAAAATTCAACCCTATAATATTATATGATTACAAGCTTAATATATATATATATATATATATATATATATATATATATATATATATATATATATATATATGTATGAGTTAAAATATGCCAGTCTTACCGTTAGTAGGCCTCATTCACGAAGTCGGTCTATAAGGTGGGTATAAGGTTGCTGCCTATAAAATGGCGCTTAATGGGTGTACACTCACACCTACTGCTTTCTTGATTGGTTGAGGGTCGTTAGCCGAATGGGTAGGATAGGGCAAACCTCTTCTCATTAATAAGTATAATGAGTCTATAAAGTAACTAAACTATTTTATAAAATTCCCAATCTTATTTACTTTAGGAAAAGTGATTTGATGCAATCCCATGAAATTACACTTTTCACCCTTGTTTAGATGTTAGTGGAGCGTGTGTGGTTAACCGACAAACTAATTGGGTCCAAGAAAAGGTGGCAAAGGGTGATTCCTTGTTTATCATAATTTGATGGAGCGTGTGTGGTTTACTGGTACATCGAATAAGTGATTATAATAATGAAGGCACCATGTTGATTTGCATGGTTATTCATACCCGCTTTGTGATCCTAGGTATCCCAGTCACAAACTAGAGGGGCATATCGAGATTTAAACATGCCATTGAAAATTTCAATGAATCTCAAAAATCTAGGAATTCTCAAGACATTTAAAACTTAAAGCTTATACTTTTCATGGTGAAGAATTAGTGAATCGTCATTCACTTACCTCCAAATTGTTTGCATGTTGGATTACGACATCCCTTTTCTAATATGTAAATAATATTGTTGGGTCCTAGCCGTAAATTTTCATTTTGGGTGTTAATTAGGGATTTAATTCTAATCAACTTTGTTCCTTTCTATTTGTAGATGTCTAATGTAAACAACGCTACTGCTAGCTCATTCACGCTAATAAGTCTTTGTCAAAAGGTGACTTTCGATGGATTGAACTTTAGCGAATGGATAAGATACATTCGCACGATCGCACGTTACGAGGACAAGGAGTATGTTCTCGATGAGAAGCTCGAGAAGATCAATCAAGAAACTGCCACTCCCGAAGAAATGGCTGTGTTTGAAACACATGAGCGTGATGCAACGAAAGTCCATTGCATCATGATAGCCACCATGAACTCCGAATTCCAAAATTCCTATGAGGACATGTATCCTTATGAGATGCATCTTGACTTGATGGAGCGATACCACCAAAGCGCGAGGCAAGAGCGCTATGAGATCATAACGAATATGATAAATGCTAAAATGGGAAGTGGAGAATCTCTTACCGTGCACTTGCAAAAGATGAAAAGGTATGTCGATCGTCTTCGCAAGTTGAATGTCAACTTTGGGGAAGATTTGGCTATCGACATTGTTCTTCACTCCTTGCCCTGATGCTACAACCAATTTAGGATGACCTACCACATGAACAAGGAAGAGGTCACCCTAAGCAAACTCCAAGGGCTTCTAAGGACTACTGAGAGCAATCTTAAGGACAAGTCTGTTGTACCATCTCCCAATCCGCCTGTTGCTCCTGTTTTGGAAATTGGGCAGGGAAGGGGTAAGAAGAGGAAGGCTTGTTGAAAGAACCATCGCAAGGGAAATTCCCAATATGGTTCCACTTATAGTGTGCCCAAGGTTGATCCTGCTAAGCCCAACCCTAAACAAAAGGAGGTAGAGTGCCATCATTGACACAAAATAGGGCATTGGAAGAGAAGTTGCCCGGAATATCTGCAAGCCATTAAGGATTGAAAGATCAAGCCATCTTTTGCAGGTATATACACAATTAAATCTAGTAATTCATCCCATACTATTTCTTGGGTTCTTGACACAGGATGTGGTTACCACATTTGTTCTGATTTGCAGGGACTAGGACGAAGTAGAGATGTGGAGCTCGAAAGAATAAATCTAATCATGGGGAATAGAAGATCGTCACCTGTTACCAAGATTGGAGTGTATTCTTTAGTGCATAGTAATTTATTGAATTTAGATTTAAATAATTGCTACTACTCGCCAGATATGGCAAGAAACATCATTTCTTTCCATGGTTTGTTTAAACAAGGATTTAGATATTCGTTTAATAATATGAATGGTTCTATTTATGCTTATCTAAATGGTGTTTTATACATTGAAGCAATGCCTTGTAATGGAATTTATGAAACTATTATAGTTGTAGATAACCTAGGAAATGATGTGTTGTGTGTGGATTCTTCCAATAGTATGGATAAATCATCCTTGTGGCATTGTCGTCTTGGACATGTCAACAAGAAGCGCATAGCCCAACTCCAAAAGGATGGAGTGTTGGAGTCATTCGACCTTAGGGAAGATGATACGTGCGAATCTTGTTTACTTGGAAAGATGACCATATCACCCTTCACTAGGACATGTGAAAGGGGTGAGGGTTTATTGGATCTCATACATACCGATGTATGTGGACCCTTTAGATCTACCACAAAGGATGGGAACCGCTTCTATGTGACTTTTACCGATGATTATAGTAGATATGGGTATATCTACTTAATCAAACACAAGTCAGAAACGTTTGAAAAGTTTAAAGAATTCAAACATGAAGTGAAGAATCGATTGGTCAGGAAAATCAAGATGCATCGATCCAATCCAGGAGGAGAGTACCTAAGTATTGAATTCCACAACTATCTTAAGGAATCCGGAATAGTTTTGCAACTTAGGACACCGCAGTTGAATGGTGTGGCAGAAAGGCGTAATCCCACCCTGTTAGACATGGTTCGTTCTATGATGAGTCATGCTTCACTACCTATCTCATTCTGGGGGTATGCCTTAGAGACTGCCGCCCATATCGTTAACTGAGTCCCTATAAAGAAGGTTGCCAAAACGCCTCACAAGATGTGGATAGGGAAAGCTCCCTCATTGGCACATATCAAGGTTTGGGGTTGTGAAGTTTTCGTAAGACGAGAGACTCACGACAAGCTCAAACCTCATAGTGAGCGATGTATTTTCATTGGCTACCCGCAGAAATCCTTTGGATATCTCTTCTATAAACTAAGTGGCAATGTTGTCTTTGTTGCAAGGAGAGGGGTTTTCTGAGAGCGAGAACTCATAAGTCAAGGAGACAGTAGGAGGAAAATCAATCTTGAAGAGATTCAAGAGTCGAGTG